ATATGTGTGTATATTTTTTTATAAATATATTATATATCTCTCCCAATTTTAACTTATTTATTAATAGAGATAAAAAACACTCTGTGGGGAGGGGATATATTTGTGTATATTTTATGTGCATCTGCATATATATATATATATATATATATATATATATATATATATATATATATATATATATATATATATATATATTTTCGTAATTAATAAACCTCACCTTTTCAAATATAATTAAATGCCATATTAAAGAAAATCTGAGTCTCCTTTGCATAAATTTAAAAGAGAATTCTTCTGTTGCAGATTGCAGGTATATCTCAGTCTTTATATATATACATATATTTATATATATATATATATATATATATATATATATATATATATATATATATATATATATATATATATATATTCTCAATTGTATTTAATCTTGAGTTCTTCCATTTACAGTTTCAGTGGACCAAAAAAAAAAACCAAAAAAAAAAATAATAAAAAAAATAGAGAATTAACATTTTGTTGTACGGAGGAAGAATGGGAAGATGGAGTTGGGTGATGGTTTTGCAGCTATTGGTATTAGTTGCTGATTCTCAGAATTTACACAGGTGAATTTAATTATTTTTTTATTAAAGCCATACATTTATTGTGTTCTACTTTCCCATCATCTTTTATTTTTATTTTTATTATTTATTTATTTTATTTTTTTATATTTTTGCTTTATTCATTTTATTGAGTAAAACTAGATTTTAGAAATATATATATATTTTTTTAAGTTTTTGGAAGGACGATAGTTACTGGTTCTCCAATTGTCATTCTAATGTCTCGAACCGGCGACCAGATTTTCTTATGTTAACGAAAACTTGCATAAAATTTCAATTCACTTCATTTGCGTGCAACTCTATCTGTAATTAACAGCGTTAATCAGTTAATTGCGAATCATTATCTGAATGGTACTGGAGTGAAGAGTGTCGTAATAGATCATATATGGTTCAATTCATTTTGGGTTCGGTATTGTAAGCCATTTATTATAAGACGAATGTGTTTTTTTTAATTGTACATAATAAAATGAACATAGAATAATTTGGTAAAATCTTTCTGAATATACTTTAAGGTTTTTTTAATAAATAAATTTAACGATCTTTGTATTTATTTTGTTCCCTTTTTATAGACAACAATGTTATTCAAAAAAACATAGGCAACTATGCTTTATTTGTTGACATGTGATTCAATTCTCCAAGAATGATTCCCAATGTTAGAATTTGTCATCTTGTAAACAATTTTTTATTGGGCAAAATTGGTTCATTTTTCAAAAAAAGTTTCCTAATTATATTATATGGATACATTGATGGCTCCTTTGTAATTTATGAATGTTAAATATTAGGTGAATTTAAATATATTAAATTAAGGAAATTACGGCCACTCCCTGCTGTAATGTCAAACTACGAAAAATCCTCTCGTATTTGGGTAATTACAACAACCATCAACTACGAATCTTCTTAAATGTCCATTTTTGCGGTGTAAAATTTAGTGGAATCATCTATATTATGTGAATTATTCTCCAATTTGTACCGGTTTTACGCCATTCAAGCTCCACATTTTGAAACAAGAAGATCATACGATGTGTCTCTTGACCTGTAAATATCAGATTGTGGTGCATCATAAACTTCATTTTGCACAAAACGAGTACAAATTAGAGAACATTACACTGCATCTAGAAGTTTATGTTGAATTTGACACCATAAAAGTGAGTGTATAAGAAAAATCATAATTGAAGATGTGGTTGTAATTATCCAAACAAAATAAATTTTTTTTTTTAATTTGACCTGCCCTTAAATAAATAACTTGCTTTTACTTGAAGACTGAAGTTCATGCTAGAAAAAATGAATTGACCAGACTACCCTTGACTATATGAAAATTAATTTTGCCGCCCGCAAAAGTAAAAGCGAAGACGAACAATGAGAATTTGAAATTGGGGAAAAAAAAAAGAAACCTAATTCCTCGCCTCGTATGGTTGTTCTGTGTGGTTACAAATTCGAAACTTTTCGCGTTCTCTAGATGGCGGCGGCGTTGGCGTTGTTGGCGGCGGTGGTTCCGACCACCTTGCCGGCGTTTAAAACTCTTCTATTGCTCTTGATTTTACTTTATTTTTTTATTTTTGTTTTTTGGGGAAGAGTAGAAAAACTCTTGTTGTTGAAGGTAAGAAATCGACGGCTCAGATTGATTACCTTGCTTTGAAGGTAATTTTGTTAATTTACAATTTTAGCCTGAACTTTTCGCCTTGAAAATTTTATCAATGATGATTTCGAAAATGAATTTTACCTCTGTAGCAGTGTGTAAGTACACAATTTTATCTTTTTTACTCTTCCAAATTTCATTTAATTCGATCCTGATTCAAATCAAATTTTCAAACGAGTGAGTACTTTTACTATAACTATCTATTCAGCTGCAGAGATTTATAAATTAATTTCTTCCGAGTTGTTCGGCCGAGTCGACTCAGCATTTCTTCGTGTATATGTAATTGCAGTAGTAGAAGACTCGTGGACGACGATAGTCCAGCTGATTCGCCATCTCCAGGAGTCGAATTGCTTCGAGACGATCAGCATGTAAAACTACGAAAATTAGCTAATATTTCGCATTTTTTTAATATAAAATGTTATTACAAGAATGTACTTACTGAAATGTGTCGCAGGTTGTAATGAGCAACGGGATAGTTAGCATTAGATTGACGGTGCCAGGTGGCGCCGTCACTAATATAACATACAACGGGAGCGACAATTTGCTTCTCCCGGAAGATAAAGAAGCGGACAGAGGGTATAAAAATTATTATACGCGATTTCGTTAAATATATGTATGTGTGTTACGCATGTATTTCGTAACGTACGAGGGTTTGAGTCATGAATCTAACATTGAACTACAGGCATTGGAATATAGTTTGGAACATGACCGAACGTGGCAAAATTATTGATAAGTAAGTATCGGTTATCGTTATAGACCTACTGAATTGAATTAATCGATTCGCACTTACTGAATTTCAGTTCGATTCACGAACGATTGATTTTGTTATTGCAGTTTAGAAGGAACGAGTTATAAGGTCATAGTGCAAAATGAAAATCAAACGGAGATTTCATTCACCAGAACATGGACGGTTGGTAGCACTAACGCTCCCTTAAACGTCGACAAAAGGTAAAGTATTTTTAAATACTTAGGGCTCGCATGGTTACATGTATCGGAGAAGTTTAGATTAGATGAGATTGGATTAATTTCATACTGACTAATTAATGAATTAGTTAGTATGATGTTCGGCATGTAAGATTAGATCTTGTATTAAATCTGTTAAATTTTGGTATTGTACGTGACTTGTCTATAAAGCCTTTTATTTAATAAAATTAACATGTAGAGTAGAACCTCAATAAATTAATACTCGGTAAATTAATAACCTCGATTAAATAATAGTTTGTCTCGGTCCCTACTCGGTGAAAATGTGTTAAATTATTAACTCAATAATTTAATAATTCGTTAAATTAATAGAATTTTGCCTAGTCCCTACTGTATTAATTTATAGAGGTTTAACTGTAATTTGAAGGATAAAATAGTCTTTTACTTATTTAGTCACCCCCTATTAAATTGATCTCGGGGACAGGGGTGCTACTAATTTAATGAAACAGTAGCATTTAATAGCGGGCTTTGATTTTAGTAACGGGTTTGAAAAAATGTGAATCTTGCCAACCGAACGTGTTACTAGCCCCTACTATTTAATTAGTAGAACCTTGTAACAGTAACCAAATGAGCCCTTATATTATTATTACCAATTTTTTTTGTCTTTTGTTATTAATACAAGCTTTGGGAATCTTGAAAATGGCAACGCAGATTCGTGATGCTTCGCGACTCGCCTGGATTCTACTCGTACACCGTGCTCGAACGTTTAAAAGGATGGCCTGTTTTTGACCTAGAGAACGGAAGAATGGTGTTCAAACTCGATGGAAACATGTAAGTTAAAAACATCACTACTTATGCATCACTGTAATAAATATGTAATTCAATTGTCTTAAGGAAGACAATGTTTTAGTACATTATATATGTATCTGTATATATTAGGTTCGACTACATGGCAATGTCGGATGTGAGACAAAGGTATATGCCTACGAGCGAGGATCGCGAGAACGGGGAGAAGCTTGAGTACAAGGAAGCTGTTCTCTTAACCAATCCAAGCAATCCTGATTTCAAAGGGGAGGTAATTTAATTTTTCGATGATTATTATTCGTACTCGTAATTCAACAATTTTATTAAACAATCTTCCGTTATTTTAATTTCAATAATTGAATCTATACTTTTGAATCAAATCACTTTCTGCTTGTATTTCACATTTTATCGAGTCCGATTTTTGGAAAAGCAAACTGAACTTATTTATTTATGAAAGGGCAAATTGCACCTCGCCCCTGAAAAAAATCCTTTTTTGCACTTTGCCCCATGTGAAATATACAACTCGGTGCAGTTTGCCCCAAATGTGTATTTTCCTGTCTAAATCTCGGCGAATTAAATGTGGATATGTCATTTTACTTTTTTTCGCTCGAAAATCCTCCTTTGAGAGTTACTTAGGGTTCCCAAATTAACAAAATTCTCTTCCCAATTTGATGAAATTCGCTTCCAGAAAAGACGAAATTATCTTCCAAATTCGACAAAATTTGTTCTTTGTTCTTCATAATCATCGTAAGATGGGGTGGGAAAAGGGTTAAATGACATTTAAAGCCTTAAAAGACGAAATTACCCTTCCAATTTACTCAAAAATCCGACAAGAATTAGACCGGAAATACACATCTGGGGCAAAGTGCATCGAGTTGTATATTTTGAAGGGGGACAATCTCGTTTTTGTTTTTTGAGGGGCGAAAGTGCAAAAAAAGGATTCTTTTGAGGGGGCGAAGTGCAATTTGCCCTTTATGATATAAATTGCATTTAACTGAAAATCTTCCTTTTGCTCAATTTCCAAATTTTATAGCATAGTATAGAGTTCCAAACTTTGTATGTTCCATTCTCAGTATTTGCTAATTTTCGTTCGATTAATTAGGTGGACGATAAATACTTGTACTCCTGCGATAACAAAGACAACAAGGTCCACGGATGGGTTAGCAGTAATCTTTCATCGGGATTTTGGATGATAACACCTAGCAACGAGTTTCGCTCGGGCGGACCTCTCAAACAGGACCTCACTTCTCATGTTGGTCCAACTGTACTTTCCGTGAGTATTCATTCTCTAAACCTTCTAATCAATTAAATTAAATTCTTTATTTTGCTTGTTTTCGTTTATTTAATTTTGTTTGCTTTTCTTGTATACGTAAAGGTGTTTATTAGCACACATTATGCCGGGGTAGATCTTGCGCTCAAGTTTGAGAGTCAAGAGTACTGGAAAAAGGTTCTCGGCCCCGTTTTTATCTACCTCAATTCCGACGCTTCTGCAAAGACCAATCCTTCTGTGCTTTGGAGCGACGCCAAAAAGAGGGTACGAGTATTTTATTTATAAATAGTATAGTAGTCGCACAATATTTACGTGCATGAAACCCGAAAAAATCGTAATTTGCTAAATTTTGTTTTGACAAAAACGCAAAAATTTTACTCGTTTTATGATTATTTTGGGTTACTGATCAGATGCTCAGTGGCGAAGCCAGCATAGGGCCAGGGGGCCATTGCCTCCCAACATTTCTCAAATCTCTATTAATTTATATAAAAATATATATAAAAAAAAGTGTACAATAGCATTAATGGCCCCCCTCAGAATTTTTATTAATTGCATTCGCCCCCTCAAACTTAAATTCCTGGCTCCGCTAATGCAGATGCTAGAAGAGGTTGCTAGTTGGCCGTACAGTTTCCCGAATTCGAAAGAATTTGTTAAATCCGAACAAAGAGGAGCTTTAAGTGGTCAATTGCTTGTTCAAGACAGGTATATTCTTTTCCATTTATTCAAGAATGATTTCTTCTTTTAATTTATTTGTTCATTTAGAATATTTAAAACTCTTTTTTTTTGTCACTTCAATCATTTCCTTTTTTTTTCTTTTTTTATTATTAATGAACAGAATTATTTCCGTGTTTAATACATGTTTCAAACCTAATTTATCAAGCCAATCGAAATCTGCATGAACAACTAGTATATTGTTGCTGGTTTTCAGGTTCGTTCATAAGAAAGCTGCGCCTGCTTCCTCGTCTTATGTCGGATTGGCACCACTGGGAAAAGCTGGTTCATGGCAATTCGAAAGCAAGGTTTTCATTTCCTATATATATATATATATATATAATTTCTAAGCAACGAGTCCCTGGAAAAAAAAAGCAGCTTTCTTTAGTTATACAGTAGAACCTCGATAAATTAATAACCTCGCCTAAATAATAGTTTCTCCCCGACTCGGTGAAAATATTTTAAATTATTAACTCGATAATTTAATAATTCACTAAATTAATATAATTTCCCTAGTCCCGACTGTAGTAATTTATAGAGGTTCAACTGTATTATGAATTAGCTAATTAATGTTCTTGTTTCAGGGTTATCAATTTTGGACACAAACGGACGAAGACGGGAGTTTTTCGATTAAGAATGTGATACCCGGAAATTACAGCTTGTTTGCATGGGTGCCTGGATTTGTCGGAGATTACAAACATGCTTCAGACATCACTATTACACCGGGATCAAATATTCAGGCAACTAATGTTGTTTTCGATGCTCCAAGAAACGGTCCAACATTGTGGGAGCTCGGAATTCCCGATCGATCAGCCGCCGAGTTCTTCATTCCAGATCCAGATTCAAGATTCAAGATCCATCAATACAAACAACCCGTCGAAAAGTTCGATCTTCAAATCCTAAAAACCTCATTATATTTAAGGCTTTAGCCACAATGTAGAAAATTATTGTTTTTGGACTAGTCTAGTATTTTTGACCCCCTCGAAATTTTCGAGTGATATTGTTATCCGAGTTCTTGATTAATAAGTTTGTTTGGTTTATATATTAACAGGTTCAGACAATACGGACTTTGGGCCCGTTACGGAGAACTGTACCCACAAAAGGATCTAGTTTTTACAGTTGGCTCTAGCAATTATAGTCAAGACTGGTTTTTCTCTCAGGTTACAAGGTATATTAATAAACACTATTTCTTTTATTTTTTATTTTTCGTGATTTTTCAGTGAGATATTTATATATATATATGAGTATTAATGTATTATTGTATATCAGGAATGTGGGAGGACAGTACGTAGGAACAACATGGCAGATTTTGTTCGACCTAAAAGACGTCGATAAAACGGGAAACTATACTCTCCAATTGGCCCTTGCATCAATACATTATGCGGAATTACAGGTACAACGAAACATAGATTGCAAAATATAAATTTTTAGATTATATTTTATATTAGTCGCGATCAAAAGGATCTTAATTTAAATCGTTACGGTATTCAAATTATCGGACTCGTAAAAACGCTAACCGCTATTTGGCTTTCATGAATAAATTAAAAGGTGCGTTTCAACAATCCGAAATCAGCGCCACATTTTACAACGGGGGTAATAGGCAAGGACAATGCAATAGCAAGACATGGCATCCGTGGGTTGTACCGTTTTTACACTATTCCGGTACCAGGGAGTTCTCTTCTTGTCGGAACGAACACGATATTTTTGACGCAGACACAAATTCAATCGCCCTTCGTAGAAATCATGTATGATTATATTCGTTTAGAAGGGCCGACGGTATCACATTAATTAGTGAAAACATTTTTTTTTTCTTGTGTTCTTTTTATATGTCCATCTCAAGAATAATATGTAACAATGGCCCAAATGTTGGCATTATATTCAATCTATAATTAGGTATAGACTATAGAGTGGTTTTAACAAATATTATAGGTTTTGTTGGTCATAGATTCAAATTCGATCTAATATATTGTTGTTTTTGTCTCTCTTGGTAGTGAAAATAATTGAAGTTTTTACGTAACGAAGGAACTCGCAGTTAACTATATATGTGCACTGGATAAACCTACACTTTCGTATAATAGTTTTCAAATCATACCAGAGACATAAACCATACTAGGCTAATCATGGTTGATAAAATCGACCTAACGACCGTTGACAAAAGAATTCAAATTTAGATCATTCGACACAATCTCTGTTTCTCCAACCATTAGGCCATCCCTTACTTCAGACCGCCCACGGTATTTCTCATGTGAATATGGCTGAAACGAAAAATCTATATATATAATAGTAGTATGATTTATTTAGCTCACCATTTTGATTCTTGGAAATTAATTATAACCACTTTTCAGAAATACAAATTTCCAATTAAATTTGTGGCCTTGGTTGGATTAAAAGGGAGTAAAGTAGAAATCCTGGAGAGAGAGGAAAATTGAAAAAGAGAATAATCCAACCTTTGAGTATACACCAAGCAACATCTACTTCAATAGTATTTTATAATCCCATAAATTAAAGTGCAATTTGCTAAATATCACCGATCACTAATACCCTCTCAAATCAGGATAGTTAGATTTTCGCAGTTTGCTGAAAGTCCATCCGACAGTTTAGTTAGAGAGCTTAGACTAAAAATAATCATTTAAACTAAAAATACATTATTATATTCCAATTCATCCGTCCTCAAAACCACATTCACTCTAAAAAATGATTTTTCTTCTACTCTTCAACTAAGTTATTTATTTTCAGTCTAAATTGGTCGATGGACTTTTTGCAAAGTCAAAATAACCGAGCATAACTCCCTGCTGATGTCACATAGTCTGCACATACACCTTGTGCGCCGCTCTATACATAAAGACGATCGAGTGGTACAGACGTGCGCGAAATGGTACTGAAATTTCTCATGGCAAAAGCCACCTACATTAATTTTTTGGTGAGATTTTAACGAAAAACCAATATATCAATGTCTCTCTAAAAAAAAATGGCGTACGCAACATATAATTTGAGATGAAAATTGCTAATTTAAAAATATTAGGGTGCAAAATACCAATTAGTGTTGATTTTTGAGGTGCATAACGCAATTCACTCCTAAAGCAAACTAGGAATGCCTAGGGAATTTAGTTTGTCCCTTAAATAATAAATAATGGACATTCCTAACTCTCTTTCTTTCTCAATAGTTGGTGGTTTACACTTTTATTTTATATGTGGATTACTAAAGTAATTGACAAATATGCAAATGGCTAACTTAACTACAACCATGTCAACCTAAGTCTTGAACTTTCTCCTCTTTGGACCACAACATATGGTGTAAAAATATAGTAGCTTACATACTCACCACAGGCTAAAAGCTCCCAAATAAAGTAGAATTTAGGACAAGGTACAAGTGTTCATAGTTTCTCTCACTTTTAATCTCCACCGGTCCACCTTCTGGTTTAAATAGGGTCAAATCAGAAGTCACTGGTGAAGGATCACCGATAAGTCAAAGTATGATAAGTACGGCGGAGTTTGACCCATGGTTGACGAAGCAAAGTAGCAAGAAAACAGTCAGAGTGGTTTAGAAGAGCATAAGGTATTTCAGGAGAAGCAAACGAGAAAATAGAAAGAGAGAGAAGAGAAAGGTATTTAAATGAGAAGTCAATGGTTTGGATCCGACGGATGGTATTAGAAGTAGAGTTTCACATTAAATACAACTGGACTCTCTTCTTTGTGGTATACATCAAGAATGAAATGGGCCTTAAGCCCATCAATTCATTTAAGCCGAGATATATATATATATATATATATATATATATATATATATATATATATATATCAACAATATAATTTATTACTACTACATGATTCCCCAGAAGAAGCAAAAGTAATTGATGGTAGTAGATAGCAATATTATGTAAGAAAAAGTAAAGAAAAGGGCTAAACCCCAAAAAAAGAAACGTCACCACTCTTAATGGAATTTTTGTTTTTCAACAAAGTTAATAAATGTCCATACATTTTTTATTCAACACTCCTCTCTTGCTCCATATATATATCTACAATGCTCTGTTTTATTTATTCCAAAGCATAAAATTAAAGTTCCCTAGAATGAATGTTTCAAGGCTTTACTTAAATATATAAAAAGTAACTGATCACACATATATATATACACACACACACACACACATTATATATATACACACACAGTGAAACACACATATTGTTCACAAAACTCCAATATCTCCTCACATACAACTTCAAATCTCCAGAAATTAACTGGAATAGATAGATATACTTTGTTACCTCAGAGGTAATGTAATATGTATATTCTTACAATAATTAATTATATATTTTTTTTCAAATTACAATTGTTTTTGAATATATTCCTTTAATTAATTAGTTGGTCTAGTGAATGCAGTTCCTTTGATATGAAGAAGAAGACGATCGGAAAGAAGAGAAAACGGGGTTCGCGTTTCGGATGGCTACTGCAAATTATTATTCTTCTCCAGTTTTTCTTGCTTGCTCAATTAACAAGCCAGTTGAGTTTTTTTTTCTTTTCCTTTTAACTATTTTATTTAATCAATTATTTTTTTTTATATATGAATAAATTAAAATATGCATGCATCTTTACCTACAATCTTTAATGACATGATTTTTATTCATTAATGCTCCTCACTCCCATATTCTTTTCAATTTTTTTTTTGTCAATTTTTTTTTCTTTTGTCAATTTTAGTAATTTTAATAATATGCATGCATCCACTTAGAAATATTGTGGGAATATAATATAAATATTTATCTTACACGGCTCAAGAAGCGCATAGGTTGTCGTC